TTTTTAAATTTTTCCATTCATTTGTTTGTAAAAAATTTTCCGACTAATTCCCGGAAAAATTGCAGACAAATATATGAAAAATCTTAAACAAGCGTTTGGAGAAATTTAATAACAGTTGCGACCCCCAAAATTTGTTAGTAATATCCTTTGCTGTGTAGCTTTAGTTTACAATTCATATATTTTTTTTCAGAACATCCGTTTTAAGGAAATTATTCGACATTTGATTCTGATACAAACACTGTAATATCTTACGCTGTTGGTTATATTCAATACTCGTCAAGATGGCGTGACAAAATCTATTGTCTAAATATTCTCAATCTATCGGAGTCATAAAAACAGCTGATAAAAACAGTCTTGAGAACTGCCGATTCATTCTATTCATGAACACTTGCGGTCAGTGTTCTATAGTCAGACCAAATCCGTTTGAGACCCTGTTAAAAGTCTTGAAACATGTTCATCTGTTTTGTTGACAATTATTTGCAGGGCAGGCCCCTTTTTCGCGGGAATTTTCCCCAAATTACCCACAATTCATCAGAAAAGGCGTTGGGCGCAAGCGCAGAAACACCCATAGTTTTTATTTGACGCAAAGGGTTTACTCTGATGATACAAACATGTCTCTCGTGTTGGTTTCATTTTCGAAGACTTGCTGCTATTTGAAGCTTGTAGAGCATGGAAAGAGGCTATAGCGGCCTGAGAAGATCGTAAGTCCTTTGTGTCTCTGCTTGCCGACCTTCTGTGTAGATTTTAGCTGACTTTTTGTGGAATTTTGCAGGCGAAAACGTGCACACTCTACGAAGTGTCCTTGTTGCTACTCGTCCGAGGAGGAACAGGAAACTCATGCAAGCGCTAAGAGAGAGGTAGGTTGAATTGCGGCTTACTAATTTGTTAATACGCTATCTGCGGTGAGAAACGAGATACTTTGTATCCCTCTCTGGTAGGAATGTGTGAGTTGTTGGCCAGAACTCGGCAACAAGAGTTTTGTAATTGGCGATTTGTTGTTAAAGTCGTCCCCGGCGACCATGTGACAAGCGCGGAAGCAAGGAAAAATTGAATGACTTTTCTGTATTTTCGCGTAAAATACCTTCTCAAAAAGAACATATCCAATGCAATTGGTGTTTTTTATCGCACAGGCGGGGTTATCACTCGGTAAAGACTTACAAATTCATTTTAATAGGTGGAAAAGTTATGTTCGTAGTAGTTTCTGCAACAAGCTAGTTTCAGCGTGCAAGGGATGTGACGATGTGTCGCGCTCATACTTTGACCACGTTTGTTAACTATCTACGCTTATTTGATGATTCTAAGGTTCATCTCTTTTTGAAATTGTAAGGATTCGTTTACTTGTTCCATTTCTGAATGCGTTAAATTGTTGGAAATCTGATTTTATATTATCGTGAGGGCTCTTAGTTGATCGTATACAATCTCTCTGTCGATCTGTACTTGTGCATTTCTTCGTTTTCGGGTTGAGCAAAATAAGCTTATATTCGACTAGTAAATTTCAAGAAGTCCTGTGATGATTTGATCTCGTTAATCTCTTTTCTTGATTTACAGTGATTTCAATAGGCTTCCCCAGATTTTTCAATGATGTACATTGTACAACAAATTATTGTGCTCGTAATTCCGATGCGAGGCATACGACATATTCCTTGGCCCGGACAGAAATTAAATGCTGCCAATAGGTTAATCTTCTTGACGTATCTGGTCTAATTTTAAATGGCACGTCATTTCATCGGTATCCGAACTGAAGAACTCTCGAAGCTTTTTCCATGCGAGTCGCATTTTAAAAGTGCTCGGGCATCATCGATTTTTGTTATTGTTGTTGTTGTTGTTCAAATACACAGTTATTATGTAAGGTTGTCTGGCCGGTGTGTACGGGATATCTCTTCGTGTAGACACTGTATTGCTAGAAAAGATCCCTTTATTTCATTTAATTTTGCGCTTGATAGCATTATTTTCTAACGAAACTGTATAGGTACTATGAAAGTTATCTCTTCTTTTCTGTATGTGTTTTCGGAATCTGGCAGAAAATATCATTTTATAAAATAATGTTGTCTACTTTTATTTTATTCTTGCCAAGCGACGTACACTTGACTTGTGTTTCTAAGCTTTCGATTTTATTTCTCCCTAGGACATTTAAAACTGTTTTAATAAATTACCGTCAGGTTTTTTCATTAAGTATGTGCTCCTTTATTGACACCAAAGCTACATTTTCTTTTTAATTGATAGTTCAGAAAGAAGTCGTAGTGTATATGTAGAAGGGCAAAAATAGTGCAATTTCTGTGAAATATGTTTTTTTTTTCATTTTGTGCCATTTACACAAGAGTCCTCTATACATGATCAGAGGTGCTTTGTCATCAATGTCTGATTTTTTGCTTCCAATTCTTGCAATTGTAACGTAATTGTAGATTTGATTTTTCTTTTTAATAAATGTGACTCATGAACCACATACTAAATTATTATGTCTAATTTTGTACGTTTTTGTGATGTTGTGGTAATACACTTCTGCTGCTTTTTGCACTCTGTGGTCTCTGATTATATTGAGTAGTTTCTGAAAATCTCCATACTTTCCCACATAATCTGACCCTAGTTAGTAATGTCTGCAATGCAGCTCCAAAATCCTCAGGGCTCAAAGTTTAAATTTGAGTTTGGGAGCACTTGTACTACCAGATGTATACTTTCAGGCGCACTGCTGAAATTTTAGGTGTGCAGCTGAAAATTTTAGGAGCACAGCTTATACTGTTGGGAGCATCCATCTTTAAAAAAGGAAGCTTAACAGTGCCTTGTGTATATGTCATCTTCAGTTTGTTACTTTTATTTCAGTACCGTGATTGACCATTGTGATTTTTAATACTTATTTCTCTTTTTGACAATACAGTTGTGACTAAAGAAAACTTACACTTGAAAAAAGTTCAAAACTGACAACAAAGAGTATGTCAAACGAGAAAGAAAGTTAATCTTTAATGAATTTGTGAAAGGGGAAATGACTTACATGTAACTGGGATACGACTTAAAAACTATCTTAGTTGGAAAAAAAAGGCCCTTAATCCACACTGTTTTTGTTTTGTTTTGGTATTTCTGCATTACTTTTACTATCATTGCTGAAATCTACTGTTTAACGTCGTACTGGTTAGAGTATGTAATTATGGTCAAGTTAGGAAGTAGGGGAAGCAAGTCAGTCACACTGTGCTTTGGGTCTTGTGGCACAACCAAAAATCCAGTCGCATATGCAACCAGTTAGGCGTTAACTTTGAGCCCTTATCCTTATTCTTGGCCCCCAACAAACTCTACGAATTACAGGAAATGCATTTTGAATTTTCCTTCAACCTAACTGGCAAATTTACTGTGGGTTTTTACAGTGTGACTGCTTTAAGTTGGTTGTGGGCCAATCAGCAGCTCTTAAAAACAGTAAGTTACTCAAAGCACAAAATTAAAAAACTGATAGCAAACATTTTTCAAGAATGCAAAATGTTTCACCAGACAATGTTTTTCAATGTGAAACTTTACATATAACACCCAGGACACATATTTGTTTGACACAAGCTGTTATTTTGTCATTTAACAACAATTTCTTCGCTACGATTGCTGTGCTCTGCATGAACATGCAAACTCAAGTCAAAAATATAACCAATGTTTACATTTTTTGACTCCACAACTCACTCTAACAGACCCCTCATGAAACATGGGCTTTCTTCAGTGGGTTCAAAAGGTCACGTGTGTAAGTTGTAATTAATTAATTTCAATCCATTTTGTATATTTTGTTTTGTGGTGATTAGGATTGACAACTAACACTCTCAAAATGTATTGTTATTTTCCTGTAAGCCGATTGGTCAATTTGGTCTAGGTGGCCCCAGATATACAGTGTAGTAGTCACACTGTAATAGGCCAATCATGGCTTGTACTCAAATCCTGATACACAGGTGGGGGCTGAGAACAAAGATTTCAGTGCTGTTCGAAGACAGACGTAACCAGAAGTTTTTTCTGTCTCTAACGTAGGCTACCACAAAAGGGACCTGGGGGGGGAGGGGGGGGGTAATATAATTTGGAATTTCCATTGGGGCTTGCTGGGGAAGATCCTTAAAAAAATCCCCTTTGTGGGAATAGTAAGTATATTTTCTGGAACTTCTCATTTCTTTTCATTTCTATAATTTGTACAACATTTTGCACGAGATGTTTCCTTAAAAGATACTCATAGGTCAAGAGAGTTATATTTCCTTGATTTTATGAGAAGTTAAAACAACTTTTGTAACTTATTGCAGGGTCTAAAAGTGACCAGTGGTTTGTTTTAAGAGTCCCTGTGCTATTGTTATACCATTAAGTGACACTAGTTAATATTTCACAGAAAATATAAGGAGACTTTCTTGTTCCTGAAAAAGTGAGATGTTTCAGCCCAAACTTACATGATCTGCTCATGGTCACACAAAAAAGTGTATTATTTTATATATAATGGATGTCAAACAGGGTCAAAAAAGTCCTCTCTGCATAGCCATCCAAAACAAATAGGTTTTCTCATTGGGCAAGCTGGGTAACTTTTTATGCCCACTTGCCCAGGCAATTTGTCTTCGAACTTTGCTATGGCCCTGGACAAGAAAAATTTTGTAACTGAATTTCAAATTATTTTCTTCAACCCTTTTTGCTATTTGCCTTGGAAGGTCTCAAAGCTGATAAAGTAGGTGGTCATTAAAGACCACTCTAATAAACAATCAACTGGAAATCATGGCATTGTAATATTCTTAATGGTGATTATAATAATATAATAATATAATATTATTGCAGAAAGTAAAAGATCATGGCAGTCAGAACAATGGAAAAAGAACAAGCAAGTACGTTGAAAAGGGAATTGAATAAAATCATTGGGAATTACTAATTCTAAGAGTTTATGAAACCTGCCCAGGACATTTTTTTACACTAAATCCTTAGCAGCAAAATGTGGAAGAAACATCCCAGGACTGTTGTAGTGGAAAGTCATGAAAAAATGTTAGAGTATTGCTCTGTTTGAGGCCCTGTCCACATGTGTCAGGTATTTTTAAATTCGCCCTTTTTTCTTTGTGGATTTTGCTGATGTCAGGCCACACCTATCCAGTAAATCTGGCGTATGAATCCACAGCTTTTTTAATCCACTCTCCAGTGAGGAAATTTTTGAATATGTTCTGTATCCAGCATGGTGTGGGTGCTAAATCCAGATATTTTTTATCTAGTGACTTAATGAAATCAAGCCCAGTTCTTTTCTGTGAATACTCAAGATTGCTGCCGAGTGGAATGTTATCACTTCTTTAATTCTTGGACTTATTTCAAGTTTTTTAATGTGTCTGCAGTTATATTGAAGGGGTTGATGCATTCAAGTGAATAGGATTGCATTAGTGATTTTGATACAATACTTTTGTGCCAATAATCCCACAAAGGACAGCTTACATAAGGGTTGGGGCATAAGGAGATGATTGACACTTCAGAGCAATTAGCAATATTGCATTCTGTAAATGACTGGTCTTAATTTTTCCTCTAGGAGAAAAAGGAGGCTTTCCTGTGATGATGGTAATAACAATGAAGATGATGCAAGCAAAGATGCCACAGACCCAGCTGAAGATCTTCATGGAGCACAAAAGACCAAAACACCCAACAGGAAAAATCTATTACACAAGCCCAAGAAAAGCAGAGAAAAGGTCAAAACTGTTTCTTCAAGACAGGAATCTAGTATTAGTACATTAAATGGTGTCAAGTTAGAGGCAAAAAGTAAGGAAGGTGGAAAAAATGGACAGGCTACTGTGAAAAATAAAAATAAAACTGGTCTATCTGTGCTTCAAAGTAGAGATGAAAGCATTGCAAAAACAGAAAATTTGAAGAAGAAATCATCAACTCAAATTCAGTCAAAGCCCAAAAAGTCAGAAAAGAAGAATGCAAAATGGAAATGTAAAGCAGGCAGTGAAGAGCTCAACAAAAGTGAAGAGGAACCTCAGGAAAAATGTTTGAATGGTATGAAAAAATCCAGTAAGGTGAAGTCTGCAGCTTCCTCTGCCAGTGATGGAGCACAGTTACAAAGCAATGATGTTGAAGAAGTCAAAAAGTCACTTAGTAATAACATAACAAAGCCTGGTACTAAACTCAACAAGGTGGAAATCAAGAAACAAAACAATACAAGGAGTAAAAACAGTAAATCAAATGATGTTCAAAGTGGATCTTCCTTTGATGGAAGTAAAAGGAGTTTGGTTCTTGGGAGCAAAAAGCAACCTAATAGTTTGAACAAAAACAGTGGAAATGTTGCGAATAGAAAAGTTGAAGTGTTCGATCATTTATTTTGTGAGCTAAAAAAGTGTCCAGGACATAGCAAAGTGACAGTTTCATCTGCTGCGGAATTGCTTCTTAGACTTACAGCTGATAAGTTGAAAAGCTTGCTCCATGCTTCAACATCTAAGAAGCTTCAGTCAGGTACAGTTGATGATAATCTGAAGAAATCATCGCCAGCAAAAGCCCAGTCTACGGTCTCATTAAGTAGACCCAAGAGGCAACGCACTGAGTCTGAGAAGTCTTTATCACAGTCACCTGAAGTTAGCAGTCGGAGTTTCCTCTCATCTCCAAGTAAGAGTGCTTCCGGGCAAGCTGAAAAAGTCAAACTATCCCAGGCAGCAGAAGCACTGGTAAGCTTCCGTGCCAATCCCACTATTCTGCGTCAGGAAAGGGCAGAGGTTGATCTTCGGCTACCAATTCCAGCTGTGAAAGTCACTGCCACAAAGAGTTTAGAAAAGAAATCAAGTTCTCCCAGTAAGGAGATAGGTTGTACCCCCTTGGATAGAACTGCTGATTCATCAATGCATGTTTTGACAACCACAAATGAACCGAAAGCATCACAAAGTTCTGTAAATGCTATTACTACTACTTCTCAGAGTCAAGCTACAACACAGTTGTCTTTAAGTCCTGCTATACACGGAACTCTTCAACAGACTTTTGGATTTCCTAGTATTGATACAAATCTCCAGCAAGTAGCAACTGTGCAGCAAAACCTGATGAATCTGAGTCAGTTAACATCACAGTTGAATCCAGTTTCTGCAGTCCCAGTACCTTTGACTCCAAAAGCAAGAGTACATGGGGCAGAGAAATCTCGACTGATGAATCAAACAGGGATGCAGAATGTTCAGGCGTTGTTCTGTCAGCCGACTCAGCCTCCAAATATCCAGACATCAGTAGCTATCCAGACCCCAGTCACCACCTTAACAGCGGGTGGCAGTAACCAACAGTTGCAGCCACAACAGCCTCTCAAAGGAATGGAAGATGTGGTGAGCTGTGTTGGGTCACGATCAACTACTAATATGTTGTGGAATATTAAGCCTGCGACTCCCCCTGTTGTGTACCTGACCAGTCCACAGAGCCTTAGTGGGGTAAGAGCCAGGCACATTATACCCCAAAATGAAGGGCACAGACCTCTACCTTTCACTACAGGCATGGCAAAGGTTCACACTGCTGGTATGCCAAAAGCACCTCTGAACTCAGTAAGTACGTGTGGAGTAATGACACTCGGAAAAGTAACAGTAGTGAATCAGGCTGCTTCACTTCCAACAACACAGGCTGTAAACATGACTTGTCAGCGACCAATACTTCCGCGTGAGCAGAGGTTGCCTTCGCTTTTTACTAGTATGCAACAAGGTGCTTCGCAGCTTCCGGTTACCACAATTAGCGGGCAGATTTCCCACAGCTTTCCACCAGTCTGTATTGGGAGCATGCCAGTACCGTTTGGTGGGATACATGTGACCTCTGCTCTGACTTCTCTCAGTAATGTTATGACACAGGCTCCAATCTCACAATACCCTCCTATTGAAGTGCCTGTAATGCAAACACCAGTTGTTACAACAGGACAAATCACTGCCACAACTTCACCTGTCAATGCTAAGCAAGCTGTGAAGAAGTTTGTTCATCAGAGAACAAAATCTGCAGAATTGAGAAGGTCAGAAAGTCTGACAAACATATTTTCAAATGAGCCTATAGCATCACCTACTCTTGCTGAACAACCCGAGGTTAGCATAGCTTCTTCTTGTTCTTCCCAGAGTGAACAGGCCCAGGTACAACAAGAAAATAAAAGCACTTCAATTACGTCCGAGTTCAATGTGCAGCAGGCAGCCTCAGCCCTTCTAAGTATCAGTTCACAAGATGGTCTTGATACTGTTGATACATCACAGCCTGGGGGAGGGGAGGGAGAGGACTCCTTGGACGAACATGATGACGAAGTTGTATTTACCAGTAAGGGTGTATTCCGTGTTGGAGATGTCGATGTCGATCCAAAGTACAACAGAATTGGCATAGGTAGGAGTTATAAACATGAGTTCATTCTACACATTTTCTTTACAATGTTTGTGCAGACATTTTTTAACTAAATCCCCCCAAAAAAACATTCAAAGAAAATCAAAACTGAAGTAATCCAGGTTACTTCTCAAGATTTGCTACCTTTAAGGGAGCCATTTTCTTGTGGAATTGAGGAAAAAGGACTGTTAAGTTGTAGTTTATCATAATCAGCAGGTCATTTCACACAAAATGGCACCCTATTCTACTTTGTCGTACTTGAAGGAAAATGCAATGCTTTCCATTGGGTTCATTCATAAATTGTGCCATAAAGATCTATTTCTTTTTTTTTTTTTTTTTTTGGGGGTTTATCCTTGGGGAAATGGGGAAAAATTTTCCCCCCTCTTATCCACCTTCCCCCCCCCAAAAAAAGGGTGGCCCCCCACACGGGTTGCCCCAAAAGGAGAGGCACCATGTGGTATAAAGTTTTCCCGGACCCCTATATATGGGGAGCACACCCATAAAGAAAAAAGAAGTGTTAGTTTTATTTTAACATAAATAAGAGGTTTATTTAAAAAAAAAGGGAACCTTTTTTTTGTTTTTTTAATTTAAAGAAAATTCAATTTTTTTCATTTGTGTTCTTTAAAAAATGTTCCAAAAAGATCTTTTTTTTTTTTTTTTTTTTTTTTAGAGGGTTATACCTGTGGCAAATGTGGAAAAATCTTCACCTCTCTTAGCTACCTTGCACGCCACATAAAACGGGTGTGCCCCGACATGAGTTGCCGCAAATGGAGATGCACCATGTGTGATAAAGCTTTCCGGCATCCATTTGGTCTCCAGCAACATATTTATACCCACACGGGGGAAAGACCTCACAAATGTTCTCAGTGTCCTAAAGCATTCTACAGTTCAAATGATTTAAGAAGACACAGCAGAATACACTCTGGTAAGCTAAGCAAAGATAGCCATTAGATTTGTGCCTCATGGAGGCACAAAATCTACAAGAATAGCAAAGAAGAATTATCTTTCTGCCACCAAGCTGTGTTGCTTTGGCTAATAATTTCAAACAACACATAATTCTCTTTAATTTGTTTGATTCTGTCCCACTGTGATCCAAGTGTTTGGCTTTTTTAGGGGGTTAGCAGGGAATAGAATAGTGCAGGCGGGGAGGGGTTGGAAGATGCTGAAGGCTCCCTCCCCTGTTCGTTTGAATTATTTAAATGAATTAATACCAAATTCTCAGAAGACAAGGTTTTTCCTCTCTATAAGAAAATAAGAGAATACAGAGTTTACTGATGTTTCCTATTGATGCAAATTCAAATAATAAGAGTTGCTACCAAATTGAGTAAAACAAAAGAATAACAGCTCAAAACATTACAATAAGGCCTAAGTAACAGCACAGCACAGGGTGGGGGGGAGCTACTTCCCATACATTCTCTTAAATGAAATCCAAATGATGTTCTCACAACTTGCAAAGCAATCATCAAAGGTCTTGACAGCAAATACAAAAGAAGGCATGGATGGATGAACTTTGGATAAAATTAAAACGGATTGCAATTGCCATTTTATTTTGAAAACTTGTTAACCTAACAGTTTTTTCAAATATCATTCTTGTTCAGTAACTTTTGACATAATGCATTGAGAGTGATGTTTGTTTGATACGAAGTTGTGATTTTGTCTTTTACAAGTAGATGTTCTACTTATGACAAGTTCCTCAGCAAATAAACAGGGCTGTTATAGGCAAATTATTAACCCAATGAACTAGACAGCCACAACACACCCCCTTTAACCCTGGAGTTTAATCTCATTGTCCCATAATATCAAAGCACTTAAACTACTGATGGCATCTCTGAGTCACCATCAGCAAATACTGACTTTAATGTTGTCACCTTACTTGTTTATATTTTATTCATTCACATGACAAATTTCATGTTGCATAAAAATCAATTTTGTAAAATTTGTCCAAAAAAATTGACCATTTGTTTTCTTTGTTTTAACTTTTATTTCTAGTTATTGATTGCTAGAAGTTTTTTATATCTCCTTTCACCTAAGGAGGGCCTTACACTCATGTTAGTCCCATTTTTTTTAAACCTCATTATAGGGGAACGTCCGTACCACTGTAAACATTGTGACAAGAGTTTTGCCACCACAATATCTTTGAAGACTCATACTTACATTCATACTGGAGAAAAGCCACATAAGTGTCCTCACTGTCCAAAGACATTTGCGACTTCAAGTAAACTGGGGCGACACATTGTGACCCACTCTGAGCAGCGACCTTTTGCCTGTGAACACTGTCCTAAATCTTTCAACAGATCAGGTAAGACATTCTGTTCATAGAGGATATGACATGATAACACGGAGCTAAAAAATTTATCTTTGAGTGTTGAAAAATGTTTGTAAATGTGTTTGCAGCCATCAAGTGAAATACTTTTGAACCTGAGAAGAGAATTTAATATCTCCAAGTGGCCATGTAAAAAGGTTCTATTAATGTTGTTATTAAAACACCAATGACATATCATACCGTTTCACTTTTTTTTTTGCTTTGAAAGGGCCAGTTTATCATGTCAGGGAAAAGTTAGGGAATTTCACTTTAAGTCAGGGAAAAGTTAAATGTTTGAAAGAAGTCAGGGAAAAGTGAAAGTTTAGGAGTACATATTAAATATGTACTCCCAAACTTTCACGTTTCCCTGACTTCTTTCAAACTTCTACTTTTACTGTTTTCTAACATTAAATTTTCTTGTGCATAATTTTTACAGACATGAATTGTCTTGTATTGGCAGAGTATTGTTTATGAAATTGAATGACAAGCCTATGTTGGCTTTTCAAGAACGTCCATTTTTTTGCACGTTATATAAATAAACTGTCAATTCGTTTACTGATGGGGGTTTCATTTCGAGCCAGACACTGGACACAATGTCTGGTTGTCTGACATGTAACATCTGGTAGTTCACACCCAAAATAGTAATTTTTTGAAGTGTGAAAATCTTTTTCTTTCATTATTAATAAAGTGAAAAAAGAACAACTGCAAACCGACAATTATAATTGCCAAATCAAACAGTTTTTGTGAGCATTTTTTAATGCCTTGAAGTACCTTCCCGGAAAACCAATTCCACTCCAGAGAATGCAGGAAATTATATTTTAGAGAGTCCAGTTATAAAAGTTAAAATGCATGCCCCCCAGATCCCCCTAGAAGTTTTTGACCCTGGCACATTTCTCCTGCGGCATGAGTCTGCCAGCTAAACCTCTGCATCCGGTACTTCCAAATGCAACTGAAAACCCTGATGTACACTGCACCTGACTTGCTGAAAGCATAAATAAATAGGTGGAGGAGATGGCTGTGAGGGGAGGGTTGAGTCCATTGTCAGGTCTGATGTGTGAAATTGTTAATTCAGTTGGTCAGGGAAATTTTACATTTGTCAGGAAAAAGTCAGGGAATTTCAGAAACCCCTGGCTGTGGCAACCATGATAGGGAAACCAAGCCAGTTGCCTTGGGGTAAAATTCTGAATTGTGTCATGTTTGCCTTTCTGGAAAGAACTGTCCTTGGCAAATCAATTGGCAATATAGTAATATTCACATGTAGATTTAATTTATGTAAATTAGTCTAGGATATTTTGTTTTTATAGCGCTTAGCATTTAAATGGATAAGTACTATATAATCATTTTCATATTATTATAATACATTTGAAAAAGTGTACAGCGACTAAGGCAGCTATAAATTATTTGTTATTTCTGATGGTGCCTCCGAAGGATTTTGGTCTGGCTATAGGTCCTGTCAAAAGCAGCCATAGGTACATGTGTAATTAATAGCTGTAAATAGTTTTGGTGCTTAAATGTACTGTGGAAGCCAGATTTTTTGAACCATGAGGGAAAAAGTTGGTTCTATTAATTGGGAGGTTCAAAAAATGGGGTGCGTGAGTATGAAGGGAAGAATTATTGGGAGATTTGAGAAACAAAGGAGTTTTTTATATACAAGGACTTTCAAACTTTACTGAAACATTTCTGTGTGTTACCATTGATGCAAAACATATTGTATATGGCTTCTCCTAATTATATGACAGTGTCACTTAACTCTTTCCTTTACTCACATCTTTAAAGGAGAAATCTTTTCTCTTTTTAGGTGACTTGCGTCGGCACAATATGCATGTGCATGATTCCCGTGACAAACCAGTAGACTTTGAAGACTGTGGCGCACCACTTAACACTACAGGCAATGTTACTGTTCCCAGCGATGGTACCAAAGATCAGGACAGTATCACTGGACAAGCGTATCAATGTTCAGTATGTGCGGAGGTGTTCGATACATCTAGTAAACTGAGGGACCATGTAACATGCCACAGTAACTTGGTGTCCACTGTACCACACCATTCTTTGGACCAAAAGTCCAGTGAAGACGTGGATCAGCTAGATGAGAGCACAGAGTCAGGGAGTATAGACAGTAATTAAAAATTATCAGCAATAATGGATAGAAGTGTGATGTCATGTTACCAAAATACACTGTAGCAAAATTTCTGCATCCTAACACTCTTTCTTGACAGAGACGGCTATTTGCATTGTCAAAGGATGGAATCAAAAAGTGGGCTACCGTTTTGTTCCTGAGTGCAATCATGCATATAAAAGTCAGACATTTCAATTTTTTTGTTTCTTTTTTTTTTCTGCCATGTTTACATGACCACCGTTTGGTGACATCCGGACATTTGCTACCATGGCAACGTGACATAACGCCTTCTCCTGTCTAATAACTGAATGCTTGTTATTTTCAAGCAGGTTCTCATCTCTAATAACTGAAAAAATGCTCCAGTTCTGTTGTATGGGTCGGCAAGTATATTTGTCCTTTTTTCTTCAAACTTAGCTGATGTAGCAAGTCTTTCCCTTCCTCTTTTAATATTCTGACTAACTTTGAATTATTTAATGGAGAATTGTAAACCTGCAGACAAAACAGGCATTGTATGGGACAGTCATTGTTTTATGGATTTTGTTGGTGTTTATCGTTATTGAAGCTTAAAAGTGGGCTCTGTGTGCCAGAATCAAGCACTTTAGAGCTGACCCTCGTGCTCGAATAGAGAGTTTGCAGGTGTCTTATGTATATTGTAGTTTTCCTCAAAAAAAGTGAAACATGTGCAGATTTTCAAGATAAGCAACCACAGGTTTAGATCAGGAACATAATATCAGTAAATAGTATAAGTATTGGATTTTCAATGAAGATGTGCATTAATTTGAAATTAAGAATTTTTTCTGCTTAGCGGGTTGCTAAGTGTGGCTTTACTTAGTGCTCTCATACTGTGAAATTCCAAAGTTTGAAGGCGAAGAAAGGTTTTATAATTTCCAAGATCGTCTTGAATCTACCATTGCATCAGCCTTGTGTGCAGACCTTTTTGTTTCTCGTCTCACACTTGCTCTTGTAGAGAAGAACTACGTGGCGATAGAAAAGAAGTTTTAAGGGTGGGGAGGCTGTTAGAGAGCTTTAGATTCTAAGAGAAGGACGACCACGAGACATTTTGTCGGGAAAACGTTTGTGGCGGAAACAAGTGATCAAATGTCAGAAATTTTTTTATTTAGCGATCGGGAGAGGACTCACCCTGCTTCAATAGAAATAAGCGTGCGAAATTTTGTGGTGAAAAAGAGTACAATGAAGCTTTCCAGGGAGTCATGTTTAGAGAATACGCGAAAAAAAATTAAAGTTCTACATCGTCCTCGTCCTAGTCGTCCTCCAATCTAAAGGTCAATAGTATATGCAGAGCCTTTATTTTTTTTTTTTTTTTAACAAAAATTGTGATCCCAAACACCAGTCCTGCTCTATTGCGTGTGAGATTGTTACCTCACCAATTCCAGAAGTCTTGTTCTTCTCTAAGAGGAGGGAATGTATGGGTCTAGTATATACTGTAAACACATTATTTTTTGTTCAATTTTCTATCCCGCGAGCAGGCTCGTGTATGCTAGCATGTTAGTATTTCATTAGGTGCACTGATGTTGCATGTTGTCGCATTGCAGTTGTGCGGTGATGTTTGTGTGAAATCTCCTTTTGGAGAGTACTAGGTGTTTTCAAGTAAATTGTAATATTCTTAGAATATCGCTTAACAGTATCATTGTAGCCACCAATGTGGCAGTAGATAAGTAAGGCAAAATTAACCATTTTTATACACAATTAATTTAACGAAAGGAAAAATCAACTGTGGCGTCGTTTACCCACACTACCTATGCTTGCAGCACAGTCCACCACACACAGACTGGTGACCCTGTGGTTTACCTAATACGTGGTTACCTAGGGAGACGGGAGACAGTCCTCTTAGCTTTTGCGCCGGCGCGAAAATCACACCGGATACGGCTTCTTTTCACACATAACAACGGTGATTTCGGTGCGATTTCTGTAACGGAACGAAGCTGCACCGCAAAAGAGAAAACTGGTGGTGAATCCCTGTGAGAAATCTCCTTTCCAGTTACAAAATAATCAAAAGAAAACACTGTTGTGTGGGAACTCGGATCACAGTATTTTTTCCTTTCGGTTATATGCAGATTTTGGTTATTTTTCGACAAATTTGTGAAGGGTTGGCTTATTTTGTTGTAAGATGCTATGTTTCTGCAAAAGCATGTTTTTGATTTTCAGCAGTATCGGCAAGTAATCTAAATTTCTATGCGTTCCTGATTTAGTGTGCTTTACGTCTTCATTCGTAAGTTGACCTTTTCATAACGGAATTGTCAAATATTGAAATCCAGAAAGAGTTACCACCATCTTGCCCTGAAAACCTAAAAGAAAACTCGTCGAGGAGAATTTTTTAACAATTAGGAATACCCTTTTTTTTCTCTTGCTAATCGTTTTCCGGCTTTATCCTCATACCCCGTGCAGCTGATTAAGCGGTGATATATTTTAAGGAGATATCAGATGCTCGTCACCCTTAAATGGGTAAATTATTATGATGCTTTGTTTTGTATATTTATTTGTGGAAACGAATTGACGCTTTTCTTTCTTTTTTTTTTTATAAGAAACACCCTTTGTTAGAATATATTTTGTTAATGTAGGAAAATGACCATTTTAACAGGTAGAATAAATTTTGTACATAAAGTGTAAGCCGGTTAAATCCTAAAAAAATGAAGTTAATAAAATAATTTAATGATTTGAGACGGAGTGAGTGGTTTGAACTGGTTAGTAAGTTTGGAATAGTAACGAACAACGCGACTCGTAGCGCGTCCCATAATGCACCGCAATAATGTTGATATTGCAGCGGGGGATGGCGGTAAAATCTGGCTCTTTTACAGCTAGGTCCTTTTCAAACCGCCTGATGTGTGTCCTGATGTGCTTGGCTGGCTCGACTGTAGTCTAGACTGCTCGCAGTCTCTTATTTTTCTTTGCAAAGTTACTGCACGCGAAACCTAAGCACACGAGCGGCAAAGCCGCGAGAAAGGAGGGCGTAAGCCCGAGAAGAAAAAATAAGAATCCCTTATTGTAATAATAACGTCGTGGTTTGCAATCGCGCTGGATGAAATAAGAACTAGACAGATTTTAAGAGGAAAGGCGGACTTCAAGCAGTCTAACTGCAGTCCAGCTGTTTCTATCCATTTATTTCCAATAGGGTCTTTCAGGTACAGGAAACGAAAGGTTTCATCAAGCTCGTATCTGTGTGGTCTTTCTTTTAAAGTCAGCTGTGGTAGCTTACTGAAAAGGTTCTCGAGGTGGAAGAAAAAATAATCTACCAAACTTTCCGAACGACTTTTTTAAATACGGTTTGTTAAATATAGCAAAAATGTTTTTAAAGTGACTAGAGATAAATGTGTTGAGGATCACAATTATCGTTGGAAATTAACAGAGAAAAAGACTCAGGAACGGAAACGGTAATGGTTTCATTGGTAATCCGCGGTAATAGTACTGTAATCGTGTGTAATTTTTGTGTGTAAGTTCAGCTGTAGCCACTTGCTTGAAAGCAAACTTATCCAAAGAGTTTCTATTTCCTAACGGGGTGAATACTCCTCTAATTAGTTTTTTTTTTGTGAACGAGGCTATTTTCAACGTCCACAGATGGTGTTTGCTTTCTTTTTCTTACCAAAATGAAAAGCTTTAGCGTTTAACAAAACACTCCCACGCAGGGAAAATGGGTGAAATCACGTCTTTCTAAGGCAGATCAAGCAGTATTAATTAAAAATGCTCTCCTGTGAAATCCAGTCATAAAAAACAGGATTTATTCTATAGATATATGTAACTTTCTCTTTAGAGAATGACTTAAAAGCAAGTTCGTTATCAAACTTCAAGTTCCAAACCGCGAGGTGCATGTTCAGACACTCTTATCCTGTTGCTACCGCCGGGCGCGTACCGTCAAGTTTTCAGTGAGTCATTTTTTAACGTAAAATGCCCGCTTTGACAAACTACTCTTCGCCTTCGTACAGGTTAGTGCACGGAACTGCTATTAATTATTCAGTCATATCCATTAGCTTAGATTACAAGCTGGCGCATAAAAAATTTCACGGTTTTGCGATTTCAACCGTTTTGGAGATCCGTGTTCTTGAAATTGCCCCTGGAGTGCAGTTTTTCGGCGTATACAGCCCTCAGCGATTACTCATTTTTATTTTGTGAAGACCGTTTGAGTTTTGTCAATTACACATTAAGGTTCTAGATGGGCTGAATCAGGCCGCCGAAAATTAGGGGCCGACCATTTGACTTTTTGAGGGTGGTATGAATTAAATTATTTGGTTTGGGAAATAGTTTTTTTTGTCCCCCTAACCTCTGGTGATAGAATTTTTTCCTGACATACAACGGTGTAATAATATTTTTCTGGGTTATAGGCGTGAAAGACTTTTTTTCGGTGTAGGGATTTTTTTTTTCGCCTGGTATTTCCTTGCAAGAATTTTTTTCCCTCGAAATCAGTCTGCAGGTTATTTTTTCCTGAAATCATCCCGATACCCCGCCTCAAGAGTCAAATGGTCGGCCCCTCCTTAGAATGATTTTTATGGGAAAAACAACACTTACCACCCAAATATGAAGAAACGTCTCCTTTGTGAGTGATTAAAAAGATATAAAACTCAGTGGAGTCAATCAGAGACAACTTTTAGTTTTCGGCCGTAAAAATGTTAGTAAAAAATTGCCAAAAAATTATGTCCACAATCTATCTTCCTGAAGTTTCGGTGTTTTTTGACCTGCCAAATCATGATTCTAATTTTTTCGCGGTGGTCATAACATTCAGCTGAAAATTGTCAGGTTACCTAATTTTATTATGCTGTTTCAGCTCCTGCTGACAGAATTTTTCGAAAGTGAATTGTTTTCGTGATTATAGAAAGTTAATCACGTGATCAACTAATGCAAAAGCCCATTGGTAGAGCGCTGCGGCGCTAACGCAGAGGCCATGGTTAAAGTCCCGGAATATTTTTCGGGTTAATTTGCAATTGCTTAAATTGCAATTACCACTGCGACGATCATATCTTTATTAAATCTCACTTGTGTTGACATTTCCCATTATGAAAATAGAAATAGCGGCAAAAAGGAGGAAACTAGCTATTTATTTTTAGCCTCGTTTTTCAGTTCAGGAAACAAAACTTTGCAACAGCTGGAGCCACTTGAAGAAGTTTTGTTGTGGAGCGAAAGTGTTAATCCCGATACTTCGCTATTTCAATCGCGCAAAATTGTAACCATAACAACGACTGCCGCCAAATTTCACCAAATGAATTTTATAGGGTGTTTACGGCATATAAGCAAAATCACAAAACCTATCTTATTGGGACCAGAATTTATGATAGAATTGACTTAAAAAAGTATACTATCTTTTAATGATCACACTATTATACAATTATTGAAATTTGTGTTAGTAAAACGTTTACTCGGGTTCGCCGGGAGGACCATTACCCTTTTATTTCATTTCCTGATTTGTCTTATTTATGTTTTGGTTCAGGGAAACAACAGAAAACTAATTATCATAAACTACCCCTTAAAAGCCTGGGCTTATAAGTCTTTGAAAGAGGTTTTAGGAGGGTTATGAACGGAGGGGCTTGCAATCGGAATAGAAAAAACTCTTCGAAACAAGCTACAGCAGTAAGGATCAACATACGTTTGTCATTTACTGGTTTTCAATAAAGCTTCAAAACGTCATAATAAATCGAATTACAATTTCATTACAAGCCAGAGAGGGGCTTATATCCGGGGGGCTTATAAATATCGGATGCATTTTTTTGTTTATAGGTAGATGGGCCTATAACCGGAGGGCTTATAAGTGAGGCGGAGGGGAAGGGGGGTCTTATAATCGGCGGTTTACGGTATAAGAACAGTTATCTTCGACGCCGACACCAGGTAGCACCACGACACGAATTTGTGGAGTTGCTTGCGCTGGGTCATGGGCTTCCGACATAGCTCTGTCCCTTGCCTGATATTGTACACCTTCATCTCTCCAGGTCTTTTAGCTCAGAAAAAGAAATATGCAATTACGTAACTGTTTGGCGAACGGAGTACTTAGGAGAGGACACATACAAACATCTGATTGCTCTAGCCAGTATCGATTTAATGAAAGCGGCTTCTTGATGTTGGTCCATTTTGTCCTTTGGAAAAGACTTATGTAGCGGCCATTGGAATCGTCGGGTGTGCTTCGCTCAGTCATCTGGTCGTGATTAGCATGGACCGATTCATTGCCATTAAATATCCCTTGAGGTACCAGGACATTGTCACAGTAAAGAAGATAGTAATCAGTATTATCCTAGCCTGGGCTATGACACTTCTTGTGACAATTAATGAAACTGTTTTGGCTTCAATAGACAGTGAAGGGAAAATCTACTCACTTTTCTTTAACGTGACTTTAATAATAAATCTTATCATCGCAACTTTCTTCCTTGCTGCCATTTCACTCTCATACGGTTACATTTACTCAGAAACTCGCCGGCAGATTAAACGTCTCAAAGCCGAACAGTTACCTCAAGAAGAAACTGAAAAAGTCAAAAAAGACCGCAAGGCAGCTGACACTTTGTCAATCATTCTTATTGCTTTAGTGATGACCTATACACCAATAATACTGGCTACAGTTGCTGCTTCTCTAAACAGCAACGTGATACCGCCGCGTTTTCTAATCATCTTAATGAGCTGGGCAAAAACTTTTGTTATGTTAGGTTCTCTTTGTAATCCTATTATTTACTGCTGGCGAATGAAGAAGTTACGGCGCGCATTTCTCGAGGTACTACATCTGCGACAACCTGAGAACGCTGTGCCAGACTTTCACCGCCATCATATTGAAACGGCACCAAATACGAGCGCGGCTGTCTCATTACCCGCAGTGGCACAACCATCAATTGAGTAGGTCACTGTCCCCAGGGGGGGCGGGGGGGACTCCCATATGAAAGGCGTATTTTGGGTGGGCAAAACCTTGTTCTGGTTCGTTATGTTGTTGTAGCCGCCATCTTTGATTTTATGACAGTGGAAGATTGGGGAGAGTGGAAATAGTAACCCTTACGGTAAGTGCCCCCTCCCCGCTTCCTTTGACTCGTCCCATTTCCTCCTCTCTTCTGGAAGTTTCAACATGACGCTTTCGCGAGCAAATTGCGCGCTCAAAGAAAACGCCTGCACTGCAGGCTAGGATGCTCGTCGTCTCGCTTGGGGGTGTAAATTGCAGATTTTGGTCGAGGGTATTTGGGATGGAAAGTTACCATATTTGCCCATTCAGGTATTCATGTTGGGCCTCATTCTCTCTTGTGTTGGGCCAACAATATTAATGTTGGAAGTAGAAACTCTTGAAAGCAGAGGTCCAGTCAAGTCAATCAACTGGTTGTTTCTTAAAAACGAGAGGTCCAAAGACTACTGCAAAGCTGATCAGAACAACGTGTCTTGTTTCTTTACAATACACGTTGTTCTGATCAGCTTTGCCGTAGTCTTTGGACCTCTCGTTTTTAAGAAACAACCAGCTGATTGGACCTCTGCTTTCTGCTTCTTGTTTTTGGTTCTTAAAATTTTGGCTGATTAGACTCTTTTCTAAAGGTCCAACATTTATAACCAGTAGGATTTTCGTGCACGATTTTTGCAGTTAATTTCATTTCATGGTTCTTTCTTGTGGGATCTCTAATGTAGAGATGCTAATGCTAGACGTCACTTGAAATGGGAATTAAATCAAAACTGAATGCAAGGCTGGCAGTACGGCAAAGGGCTGATTTATTTGAGGTCAATATTTCGGCTAACAAAATTAGCCTTCCTCAGGGACAGAGCTACACTGAAAAAAAATACTATAACGGCTGCTAAAATTTGAATTTGAATTTACGCAAGAGGTTAATAATTATAAACTAAAAATGAGAACAGTAGATAGCACGATCGATAGGTAAATAACGTACAGTTTAACGTTCGTCCTTGCGGTTTACACCATCTGGTGAAAGAGTTTTACCTCTATTTTAGTTATGCTTTAATAATGTTGGGAGTTGTTGCGTTCGTGTTGGCGGTGGTGTGCAAACATTGCTCTTTTAAAAACTGCAACAGGACACAAAACCTTTTACTATAGAAGTGTCTCTATCTGGAATAAGCTCGATTCAAGCTTGAAATTATTCAAGAATCCCGCTTTCTTAATTTTAAGAGAGCTTTAAAATAATCTTCTGAATGAATTTTTATATCAACAATGATATAATTTTTGAAGTCAAATACTGTAATTTGTAATGTATTTAATGAACTATATCGTATGTACTTAGTTATTTAGTGTAATTTAAATGTACATAATTCTTCGATTTCTGTGAATAAGTTTTTTCTTTAGTTGTTAATTTTTACCACATGTTAACCTATTTTATCACTGAAAAGTTCCAGATGGGGATGTGATCAATAAATGTATGCTTGTAAATATAACTCCCAACAATGTTGGGACCTGCAATGCATAGTGGGAAGGATACAGCCCATAACACTTTGTACGCCACGTGTAATGCGCTTGCGTGGCCCCAACAATGTTGTAAGAGCTTAAGATAGACGAAAAATGTTTTCCATTTGTACAATTTTCATTTTTCATTCTTTAAAGCATCTATTTTCGATTACGACTTCTACTACATAAACAAAACTAGTGTCTCGTACTCGTAGATGTGTTCGTCGTCGGTGCTCTCCCCTCCCCCCTAACCTCCGCACCGCGTGGGTTAGAGAGAGGAAACAACTGAGCTTTCAGATCAGTGCGAAAACTCTCTAATATTGGTTACCATCTGCTACGTACCTAAAAAATCAAACCCACTGAGTGTATACAATAATAAACATTTAATACATATTTAACCACTCTCCACCTTGAAAGCTTTGGGTCTTTATGACAATAATAATATAAATGACATTAAAGTGAAGCAAGGTGAACAAATTTTCTGGCTTTTTTTGGGAAACAGGACAGGTGATATCAGGGAATGATCTGATCGGTCAGAATGCTCGCCTGCGAACAGCAGACGCATTTCCGGTCGTCGCTTCTCTCCCTCCGGAAAATAGCTATTTTTCGGAAGACTTTCGGAGGAAGAGAAGCGACGACCTGAAATGCGTCTGCTGTTCGCAGGCTATCAGAATGCACGAAAGGGACTGTGTGACGGCCGTTTGGTCAATGCATTTTTTTTAGTTTTAGGAATTACAGAGATATTGTATTTCCTTTCCTCCAATTATTTAATCAGATTACTGTTTTGACTGTTTTAATGTGTAAGGGCTGTTTGTCACTACAGAGGTTTGCGAAATTGAGCGGCAATTTAACAACGGTCTCAGATAAATAAACAAAAAAAAAGGAAAAACAGTTTACAGCTCATCCGTGCCTCAACTTGTTGTGTTTCACGAATATTTTGTTGGGGTTATTAGCGTATAGGAACAGGAGAGAAATGCTGAGAGGAACACTAGCAGCAGACGAAGAGAACCCGTGAAAACTATCATCCGTTCTATCATTCTTCCAGCTTCCCACAAAAGCAAATGGTTTGGTTTGTTTTAGCCTGAGAGAACAGCCGACGTTTTGAGACGCCATTACTGGTTTCCGGCGAAAAGACGTGTGAGCAACGAGTGCAGAAATTCTGTACTGATGACCTGTCATTACCCAGATCTGGGTAGTACTTCTGATTGGTTGAAGCAAAATGTTCTTGCGCCACAACCAATCAGAAGCACTACTTAGACCTGGATAGTGACACGTCATCATTAAAGAATTTCTGAGCTCGTTTCTAAGACGTCACTTCGCGAGGAAACCAGTGGCGGCGTCGCGCAATGTCAGCTGTTTTCTTAGCCAGGCTGGGTTTGTTTTATTCTCTGCGTCATCCCAGCTGTTCATGTCATTTGCGAGCCCGCTGCAAAAACCAAATTGCAACTGTTGAACTGCACGCAATGAACGGAACAGTTTTTAGTGGAGAAAGAAGCCATCAGTTCAGGAGAAGCATTGGCATTTGTGCCGCTGATATTATTAGAAGTCTCGAGAGCTAGTCCAAAATCCCATATCCTTACACTACTGTCCAGACCCCCAGAGGCCAGCAGCGTCCCATCTGCGCTAAAAGCGAGACTATATACAGAATCCGAGTGCCCGCGCAACTCTTTAACCATACTTCCAGCAGACAGGTCCCACAGAAGAATGCGCCGGTCCTCTCCCGCTGACACCAGGTACTGTCCGTCGGGGGAAATTGCCAGATCGTGTATCGAACCCTACAAGCAAACAGAATAATTATTTTTACCGTAAATCCTAGAAGGTTTTGACTCTGGCACTCAACATTTCACCTGCGGCATGAGTCTGCCAGCTAAACCTCTGCATCCGGTACTTCCAAATGCAACTGAAAACCCTGATGTACACTGCACCTGACTTGCTGAAAGCATGAATAAACAGGTGGAGGAGATGGCTGTGAGGGGAGGGTTGAGTCCATCATCAGGTCTGATGTGGGAAATTGTTAATTCAGTTAGTCAGGGAAATTTTACATTTGTCAGGAAAAAGTCAGGGAATTTCAGAAACCCCTGGCTTTGGCAACCATGATAGGGAAACCAAGCCAGTTGCCCTGGGGTAAAATTCTGAATAGTCTCATGTTTGCCTTTCTGGAAAGAACTGTCCTTGGCAAATCAATTGGCGATATAATAATATTCACATGTAGATTTTAATTTATGTGAAATTAGTCTGGGATATTTTGTTTTTATAGCGCTTAGTATTTAAATGGATAAGTGCCATATAATCATTTTCATATTATTAAATTATACATTTGAAAAAGTGTACAGCGACTAAGGCAGCTATAAATTATTTGTTATTTCTGATGGTGCCTCCGAAGGATTTTTGTCTGGCTATAGGTACATGTGTAATTAATAGCTGTAAATAGTTTTGGTGCTTAAAAGAACTGTGGAATCCAGATTTTTTTTCCACCATGAGGGAAAACGTTCGTTCAATTAATTGGGAGATTCAAAAAGTGGGGTTCTTGGAGTATGAAGGGAAGAATTATTGGGAGATTTGAGAAAAAAGAGAGGTTTTTCATGTACAAGGACTTTCAAACTTTACTGAAACATTTCTATGTTACCATTGATGCAAAAACGTCTCCAAATTATGTGACAGAGTGACTTAACTCTTGCCTTTACTCACATCTTTAAAGGAGGAATCTGTTCTCTTTTTTAGGTGACTTGCGTCGACACAATATGCACGTGCATGATTCCCGTGACAAACCAGTAGACTTTGAAGACTGTGGCGCACCACTAAGCACTACAGGCAATGTTACTGTTCCCAGCGATGGTACCAAAGATCAGGACAGTGTCACTGGACAAGTGTATCAATGTTCAGTATGTGCGGAGGTGTTCGATACATCTAGTGAACTGAGGGACCATGTAACATGTCATAGTAACATGGTGTCCACTGTACCAAACCATTCTTTGGACCAAAAGTCCAGTGAAGACGTGGATCAGCTGGATGAGAGCACAGAGTCAGGGAGTATAGACAGTAATTAAAAATTAGCAGCAATAATGGATAGAAGTGTGATGTCATGTTACCAAGGTACACTGTAGCAGAATGTCTGGATTTCAACACTCTTTCTTGATCTATTTGCATTGTTAAAGGATGAAATCAAAAAGTGGGCTACCGTTTTGTTTCTGAGTGCAATCATGCACATAAAAGTCAGACATTTCAAATTTTTTGTTTCTTTTTTTTTTCCTGCCATGTTTACATGACCACGGTTTGTTGACATCCGGACATTTTGCTACCATGGCAATGTGACATAACGCCTTCTCCTTTCTAATAACTGAATGCTTGTTATTTTCAAGCAGGTTTTAATAGGGTAAATCTCATCTCTAGTAACTGAAAAAATGCTCCAGTTCTGTTGTATGGGTCGGCAATTATATTTGTCCTTTTTTCTCCGAACTTGTTCAAAACTAAGCTGATGTAGCAATTCTTTCCCTTCCTTTTTTGATACTCTGACTAACTTTGAATAACAGGCATTGGGACAGTTATTGTTTTATTGATGTTGTTGGTGTTTATCATTATTGAAGCTTAAAAGTGGGTTCTCTGAGCCGGAATCAAGTAATTTAGAGCTGACCCTCATGCTTGAATAAAGAGTTTGCAGGTGTCTTATGTATCTGGTAGTTTTCCTCAGAAAAAATGAAACATGTGCAGATTTTCAAGATAAGCAACCACAGGTTTAGATCAGGAACATAATATCAGTAAATAATATTGGATTTTCAATGAAGATTTGCTTTAATTTGAAATTATAGAATTTTGTCTGCTTAGCGAGTTGCTAAGTGTGGGTTTACTTAGTGCTCTCATGCTGTGAAATTCCAAAGTTTGAAGGCGGAGAAAGGTTTTATAATTTCCAAGACCATCTTGAATCTACTAGTGCATCAGCCTCGTGTGCAGACCTTGTTGTTTCTCGTCTCACATGACTTCCTCTTGTAGAGAAGAACTACGTGGCGATTGAAAAGAAGTTTGTAAGGGTGGGAGTCTGTTAGAGAGCTTTAGATTCCAAGAGAAGGACGACTACGAGACATTTTGTCCGGAAAACGTTGGTGGCCGAAACAACTGATCATTTAGCGATCGGGAGAGGACTCAACCTGCTTCAATAGAAATAAGCGTGCGAAATTTTGTGGTCAAAATGTACAATGAAGCTTTCCGGGGAGTCATGTTTAGAGAATACGCGAAAAAAATTAAAGTTGTATATCGTCCTCGCCCTAGTCGTTCTCGAATCTAAAGGTCAATAGTATATGCAGTGCCTTTATTATTATTTTTTAAAAAATTGTGATCCCAAACACCAGTCCTGCTCTACTGCGTGTGAGATTGTCACCTCACCAATTCAAGAAGTCTTGTTCTTCTCTTAGAGGAGTATATACTGTAAACACATTTTTGTTCAATTTTCTATCCCGCGAGCAGGCTCGTGTATGTTAGCATGTTAGTAAAATAGGCAGGTTTTTCATTAGGTGCACTGATGTTGCATGTTGTCGCATTGCAGTTGTGCGGTGATGTTTGTGTGAAATCTCCTTTTGGAGAGTATTAAGTATTTTCAAGTAAATTGTAATATTCTTAGAATATCGCTTAACAGTATCATTGTAGCCATCAATGTGGCAGTATATAAGTAAGGCAAAATTAACCATTTTTATACACATTTAATTTAACGAAAGGAAAAATCAACTGTGGCGTCGTTTACCCACACTACCTATACATCCAGCGCAGTCCACCATATACAGACTGGTGGCCCTGTGGTTTACCTAATACGTGGTTACCTGGGGAGACAGTCCTCTTAGCTTTTGAGCCGGCGCGAAAATCACACCGGATAGGGATTCTTTTCACCCCTGACATAACAACGGTGATTTCGGTGCGATTTCTGTAACGGAACGAAGCTGCACCGCAAAAGAGAAAACTGGTGGTGAATCCCTGTGAGAAATTTCCTTTCCAGTTACAAAGTAATCAAAAGAAAACACTGTTGTGTGGGAACTCGGATCACAGTATTTTTTCCTTTCGGTTATATGCAGATTTTGGTTATTTTTCGACAAATTTGTGAAAGCTTGGCTTATTTTGTTGTAAGATACTATGTTTCTGCAAAAGCATGTTTTTGATTTTCAGCAGTATCGGCAAGTAATCTAAATTACTATGCATTCCTGATTTAGTGTGCTTTACGTCTTCATTCGTAAGTTGGCCTTTTCATAACGGAATTGTCAAATATTGAAATCCAGAAAGAGTTACCACCGTCTTGCCCTGAAAACCTAAAAGAAAACTCGTCGAGGAGAATTTTAACAATTAGGAATACCCTTTTTTTCTCTTGCTAATCGTTTTCCGGCTTTATCCTCATGCCCCGTACAGCTGATTAAGCGGTGATATATTTTAAGGGGATATCAGATGCTAGTCACCCTTAAATAGGTAAATTCCCCTGTTAAGTCAAGTGTATTTTCTAATCCCTTGCTGTTCTTTGTGTCGTCAGGCAACGCTCATTTTGCCGGGAGAAACGTTGCGTGACTACTCAAAGGTTTCCTTATTTTGTTTTGGACTCTTGAGAATCAAAGAGTTTATAATTTAAGATCGATACGCATGACTTCGCTTAAGTTTAATGTATTATTTTGATGCTTTGTTTTGTATATTTATTTGTGGAAACGAATTGACGCCTTTTTTTTCATTAGAAACACCCTTTGTTAGAATATATTTTGTTAATCTAGGATAATGACCATTTTTACAGGTAGAATAAATTGTGTACATTAAGTGCAAGGTTAAATCCTAAAAAAAATGAAGTTAATAAATAATCAAGAGACTATAAAGGGGACAGAGAGGCCATCCCCCATATACACCCTATTCCATAGGTAATTCGTCTCGAGTTATTTTTAGAATCGGGATAAAGTTACCTCGCGCGAGGCGTGGATGTTTCGTGGAGGTTTCGCATGACCAAACGCCGTGCAAAACATGTCGGGCGAGAGGCAATGAAAGCGTAAAAAGATCGAGAGCATTCCTGAATATTGAAGCGAAATGAGTCGGCGCTCACCTGGGAAAAAGGAATCGCTGGACTCTTTGACAACCCGTGAAATCAGTTTAACTCGAAGTTGTCGTAACCTCAGTGCTTTAATAAAATGAGAAATTTCGCCGGTCTATTGAAACCGGTCGTTTGTACAATTTAGGGAGTTTAAGATCCAACGACGCGGACGACAACTAGAACGTCAAAAAAACAATAGGTTTAATTAGCAAAACAACAACTTCGCACGTGCAACACACTTTTTTGTTCATTTCTTTCCCGTTTTTGCACGACTACGACGTGAAAATGCCTAATTTCGCGTTTTATGGAGGACGTAAATAAGCAACGACGAAATTTTATTTCTCTTTCTGAGCTTGAATATGGTCCCTTGAAATTCAGCTTTAGGAGGGTTCGCCTACAATTGACAAAGTAAGTGGGTAGGAATAATCGCTATAAAGACTGAAAAAAATAAACATCAAACCAGAAATTGCTCTCTTCAAACTGTAAATTATAAATGATCCTGAGAGAATATTCAGTGTGTTAAGGATTTCCCTGCTCTACTGTTAGCTCTATACAAGAGAGGAAGGGCGATTCTTTTTTAATTTCGGTTTCGCTGACACAGCTTTCGCAGAAATCTCGCTGTAGTCGTTTTCGTCGACAAAAGGAATAGCAAAATCGCTCTCCGCGTCTTCCCCCATTTTGTTCTGCGTCATTTCGTGAAGGACGCGTGGCTCTCAGCGTGGGTCATCCACGCGGAACACATTCGCGCTATGTGATTGGCTGTTGTCTAATGCCCCTTGAGATCTGTGGTGTTAAAAATAACTCGAGACGAATTACCTATGGAATAGGGTGTATATGGGGGATGCCCTCTCTGTCCCCTTTATAGTCTCTTGTAAATAATTTAATGATTGGAGACAGAGTGATTGGTTTGAACTGGTTAGTAAGTTTGGAAAGGATATTTTAATTGTAACGAACAACGCGACTTAGCGCTTCCTATAATGCACCGCAATAATGGTGATATTGCAGACGGGATGGCGGTAAAATCTGGCTCTTTTATTGTTAGGTCCGTTTCAAACCACCTGATGTGTGCCCTGATTTGCTTGGCTGGCTAAAGTGTAGTCCGGCTGTTTCTATCCATTTATTCCCAATAGGGTCTTTCAGGTGCAGGAAACGAAAGGTGTCATCAAGCTCGTATCTGTGTAGTCTTTCTGTGTAGTCGGCTGTGGTAGCTTACTGAAAAGGTTCTCGAGGTGGAAGGAAAAATAATCCACCAAAATTTTGCGATTTCGTTCGCGACGACTTTTTTAAATACGGTTTGTTAAATATAGCAAAAATGTTTTTAAAGTGACTAGATATAAATGTGTTGAGGATAACAATTATCGTTGGAAATTAACAGAGAAAAAGACTCAGGAACGGAATCGGTACAGCCTCCTCCTCAGGCGCTTCGTTTTTCTCGTGGCAGAGGCGAGCGCGAAACGAGTGACTGGTGATCAACCGCAAGGGACCATGGGAAGGGTAAAGAAGGCAGGCGAAGCGCCTGCCAGATCTTGTGCCGTTTTCTTGGCAAGGAAGTCGTTTTCTTGGCACGGCCCAATTTTTGGTCTTTTTAAGTCTTGGAAGCGATCAATTTTAGTACCATATTTTTGTAAACATTGTAAACTTTGGATAGACAGGTGAATGGCTCAAACTTTTCAAAACCTGAGGTAGAAATAATCGACAGGCTGCTAAGGAGTCGGATTCTTACGAATCGAAGACCTCTAACAATGTTTGATGACCTAACGGTATCGCGTAAGTCTTATTTTAGTAGTAACTTGTCGTTTATTGTAGAATCCGGATTAGTAAAGTACAGCGCTGGCGACTATGTTTCTATTTTTCGCTCTTTTAGGCCAAATCCACCGAACAACGCGCAAGTAACCTTGTGAATTGAAAGAAGTGCAAGTCCTAGCTCGATTGTCCAAGGTCAGGAGTTGATTATCAAGACCACATTATGTCCTTACACCAAGAATGGGACTGTGACACGCTTCT